GCAGGGAGTCTGCTTCTCCCTCTGACCCTTCCCCCTCTCATGTGTTCTCTCTCTCTCTCTCTCATTCTCGCTCTCTCAAAAAAAAAGAAAAAAATCTTAAAATTCTCTCAACTTTTCTGTACTGTTGATTTCACAACAGTACAATACCATGCTTGTAAAGCTGCCACTCACTGCTTCAAACTTAAAATTTTAAAACTTGGGATTTTACAATTATTCTTGCTATTAGTCCAGCCTTGATGAATTCTAAAACTTAATTCTACCATTCAACTATAGGTGGATTATGATGAGGCCCTTAGTGAAATCTAAGCATCAGGGCCCTTTGCTTGCACAGTCCTTTCCAAGTCCCTATACCAATGTTGCACTGATGATTTTGAATTCTTCTTTCTTAGAACACCAAAAATTTGTAAAAGCCCCACAAAACCAGGATCTACCTCTGCATCCACCATATTAACTACATGTTCCAGCTTCCCATTAGCAACAAATTTGCTAAGTTCTCTAACCTCAGTCCTTCCTGATATAAAATTAACAGAAGTGGGTACTTGGGACTCACAAACCCCCTCCAGCTTTCACTCCTATCAATGGGAGTCTTACCTTAGTAAGAGGAAGTGTCCCATGCAGAGTAAGCCCCTCCTTCTCCAACAGCCTCTTCTCCTCATCTGTCAGTATCAGCCTAGCAATTTCCTAGGGTTACCAGTAGGTGGGCAGCAGAGTTGCAAGGGGATGTCAGAAAGGAATGGGGAATCCGCCCCCACCTGTGCAATGTGTGAATAATCCCGCCATAAATCAAGTACCTGCTCTGCTGGCTCCTCCACACGCAGTGGAGTCGTCTGGGCCCCCTCTTTTCCATAGTTCCCACCATCTGCAAAAGGGAAAGTATAAATAGCCAGGCCCACGAGTCCTGTCTTCCGCCCAAACCTCACTTATTTCACACTCACCTAGATCTATGGAGACATGTTGTGAGAGAGAGTAGGTGTGATCATGGTGAACAAGACAGGAATCAGAGGAGCTAAGGACGTTCAACGATGCTGGAGGACTCAGCACGGAACTCAGGAAATCCTCTGCCTCCCATTCACTCAGCGTCTGCACAGGGTTCAACTTAATAAGCCTTGACCTATTACTACCCACTGCCTCATGAATGCCGTCCCCGCAACCCCGCGCCTCCCCGACTCACAGCCCCCACCCACCTCGGAAAGGGGCTGCTCGGCCCCCAAATCTCCGCTTTCCTCTAGCAGAAAGTCCAGCAGGTCCTGGTCACCCAAGTCCAACGCCAGTTCCATAATGGATATCAGCGGGAAGGATGGGCAGAAACACAGACGCTCACCCCACCACCCAACCGCAAACCCGAACCAGTCGCTCTCAAATCGCACCAGCTCCCTAGACTCGCTCCTCCGCAGCTTCCAACACCACGGACGTGACGCGCCTACCCCCGAGGCATTCCGGGACTTGGAGTTCCCTCTGACGCGGAAGTGGCCCAGCAGCTGCGCGCCACGTCCCAGGAGCTATGCAAATAGAGGGGCCGTCCCTGCTGCCTCCTCACACCCTGAGGGCGGGCATTCTGGGGGACGGGCTCCGCCTTGGCCCCCGGCTGAAAAAGGGAAGGGTTCGAGACTAAAAGGGAACTCGGGCGCAGTTAGAGCGTTTTCTCCGAATTGTGCCGCACCCTTGCTTCCGGCCGGGGAGGGGCCGCCGGTCTAAGACCCGCTCCCGAGCATCGAGAGCTGGGGCCAGAGCAGCTTCCTCCTGTCCCCACAACCATAGAGCGCGGGCCCAGGGCGCCGCCCGCGGGTGGGGGACGTTCCGGGGACGGAAGTGGCCGAGAGAGTGTCGAAGGGAGGGCGAGGCCGGAGCCCGATTGCCACCGGGAGAACGAGCGGGTTAGCGGGCCGGCGGGCGGGGTACGAGCCGGGCAGCGCAGGTAGGCCGGGCCGGACGGGCCGAGCCGGAGGTTCAGGGTGGGGCCGCAAGGCCAGGCCCGGGAAGCGGGCTGGCGGGCAGGCGGGCGGGGTCCCTTGACTCTCCTGCGTCTCCTATTTCGGGTCCTGTTGGAGGGGTCACCGTCCAGTGTATCTCGGCTTGGGATCGGAGTTAAGTAGGCCGTTTTAAGGGAGCCAGGCCCTTCCTGGGATCGGTCCTCTGTCTGGAATAAGTTTTGAAGAGGGAGAGGAGTGGGGTGGCATTGAGGCGCAGGGCGGGGACCGGCTTTGAGGTTAGCTGATAGCGGGTATATGGGTAGGAAAGCCTCGGGTGAATTTGGGAATTAAGGTTAGCTTAAGGAGTTATAAAACCGGAGTTGGAAATTTAGAGTTACTAGTGTGAGTCAGGTCCGTTTTATATAGGTAAAGTTTGGATTAGGTCATTATTTTGTTTTCTGGCCAACGTTAAGTCAAAGTTAAGATTCAGGACCGGGTTAAGGGTCAACACAGGAATTAAATTAGAAATCCAGTTTTAGGGATTAGAGAACATTAGCATGGTACCAGGGATAAATAGCGAAGGGATGGGTCAGCAGTCAAGTGACAAAGGAGTTTTAGGCTTAGAGATCAACATTTGGGGTTAAGGTCGGGGAATTTGGTGCTAGGGGTAAAAATTAGATCAATATTGGGGATCAGGGATTGGGTACGGGTGTCTATTAGGAAAGGGATGAATGTTAAAGCCAATATTAGGAAACAGGAAGCAAATAAGGGTCAGGGTTAATGTCAGGAATTAGGGTTAGTTTTAGGGGGGTTATGGTTGAGATTAGGGCAGTTGACCTCGGATAGATAAAATTTAAGAGATTGGCAGTAGATACATGCATTCGTTTTGCGGGGAGGTCTCATTCCTCCGTAGTTTCAGGGGTTCTCTAGCCCAGAGATAGGATAAACTAATTTCAGGTAGGGTTCTGGGCTTCAGCTACAATTGCAGATTTCTGGGATTCCAGCTTCTTTATTCTGCTCTCTAAATCCAATGCTCTTGCTGTGGTCACCACAGTTGAGGGACAGGGGTTGTTTACAACATAGGAGGAGGGAATGGGACTGGGACCCAGGAGATGTACAAGGCCTAGACATAAGTGGAGGATTACTTAGGGAGAGGGGACTATGATTAAGGGAAGGCTGACCATGGAAACACTGTTGCCACGGGAGAAAGAGATGACTGAATCGTCTGAAAGTTCAGCCCCACTGCCTCCCAATTCCCTCATTCTCTAGTTATTGAGTCCTCCCTGGCCCTGCAGTTCACACCCTCCCTGCATACCCCCTTTCTGCAAGCACAGTCCTGCATACAGAATTCTCCCCTCATCTGTAACTCTCCCATACTTGTTCATCTTACCAACGGTTCCCAGCTGCAGTTCTTCCTCCCTTCCTATCCGATTCTGCACCTCCTACCATATTTTGCCCTCCCAAATCTGAGCTTTCCCATCATCTTAAAGCACTCTCCCACACTTTCCCCCACTCACCCACCTGCATACCTCCTGGTCATCTGCTGAATACCACTCCCTTCAGCCCAACATAACTGTCAAGTACCCCCAGGCCCTGCTACATGCCAGCCCCTGGTGCTAAGCCTCCTTAAGTTCTTGGTCCAGTTGTAGATCCCCTTCCCCCACTCCCCAAACAGAAAAGAGGAAATGAGACCCAAAGAGGAAACTGGGTCTTGCTGATCCCACGCCCAGCCAGGCCACTGACCACACCCCCATTTCACTCCCAGCCTGACCCTGCCACTGACCACAGCACTATCCCCTACCCAGTGTGACTGGTCGTGCCCTGTACCCACCCACCGCCACCAGCTCCAGCTCTGCTTGTAGACTGCCAGTGTCCCTCCGCTCTCCCCCTCCTCCCCATCCCAGCCTTATATAGCCACTGACCACAGCCCCATCTCTTCTCAGCCTCCTGCAGCCTGATCTGACCTCTGACCTCACTCTGTCATTCCCTGACTTATAATTGTTTTTCCCCTTCCCCTAGCCTGATCCAGTGACTGATCATGTATGTATTTTTCCTACCACCATCTTCTCCAGCCTTTCTCTACACCTTGTCTTCCCCATTTCTACTCCGATACAGTCACTGACCTCATCCCTTCTGCCCCTACCTGGTGCAACCCACATCTCCATCTGCTGTGCCCCAGAGCCTCATCTTCCTATACCCAGCTTGACCTGATCTTTCCTTCTCCCCTTCCCAATTCCTTGTGTAAACTCATGCCACCCCAGCCACTGAGTGGCTACTGATGACAGAAGCTGTGGGACTCCAGTCTGACTTTGGGCCCAGGTCCCTGAAGGTTGACAGGACAGACTGCCATCAGGTCCTGACAGTTCCACCTCTTAAAACTACAAATGAGTGACATCCTCCTCTCTACCATTCTAACTGCTGTCATCACTTCTGACTTGTGCTAATGCACTGTCTTTCTGACCAGTCTCCAAGGTAACTGCCAGAATTATTTTCCAAAATCTAGTTCTGGTTCTGTCCCTTCTCTGCTCAAAGCCTCCCGTGGCCTCCTGGTGCCCTCCAGTAGGTAAAATACTCCTTCCTCTCTAATCCTCCCCTGCCTTTCCACCCTGACCCAGATTTCCCCATCGCTGCTCCCTTGCAGGTACCCTGTGCTTCAGCCAGCCTGCCTGCTCACTTCCCTGAATGCTCCTCCGTGATTTCCTGCTCCTCCACCTTTGCTTATGCTCTTCTCTCTGCCTGGAATGCTACCCCTGACTCACCTCCGGCTGGCGTAGTGGAGACAGCTTGGGCTTTGGAGTCAGAGAGATGTGGGTTCGGATCATGGCTTCACAACTTCACAACTTACTAGCTGTATGACTTTGGAGAAGTTCCTTGAACAAGTGTTTAACGTCTTTGCACCTCAGTTTCCTAATCTGTAAAAATGGATATAATGGTATCTTGCCGGGTTGTTGTAAAGATTAAATGAAATTATGTATACAGAGAAATTGACATAATCGTCAATAAAAGGTAGATCCTTATGATTTTTATTATCTTTATTTAAAGTCCTAACTTCAAATGACACTTTTCACAGAGACTTTTTGGTCCCTCTTCTCTAACCTAAAGGGATCGATCTCTCCCCTGAGCACGCACCTCTTGACTCTGACCACATCCTGCCCTGTATTATAATTCTGTATTTAGCTTACCCACTCAACTAACTGGGAGCCCCTTGAAAGTGAAGGCGAGGGCTTGCTCTTCTTGCTTCCCAGTCACTGAGAGTTTGGCCCGGGGCCTTTTTCACAACAGACCCTCAGAAATGCCTGTTGGATGAATGGAGGGAGAATGTGTAATGGGAGGAGAGATGTTGGGGCAAGTTGTTCCCTTACGGATAGAGGTGTGTTTGTGGAGAAGCTGTGTGCGTGGGATTCGGTCTTTACGGGAAGATAATGTGGTTGTGATGGGGTCTGTGTAAGGGACTGCATGTTTGAGATAACGTGTATGTGGAGACAGTATAAGTAGGTTTGTGGTAAAGAGCTCTGTGCATAGACTGGGGTGCAGTTAGGGAGAATGAATATGCATAAATAGGTGTAGGTGGTGAGGGGCTATGTCGAGGGAGATCAGGTCCAGCCCTTCAGCTGCCCAGTCCAGCCCGAAGTGAGCCTCCAGCAGCCTGAGGCCGGATATGTCAGTCTCACCCACAACCACCAACCTCCCCCCCCCTCCCCGCCCCCCGCGGTTGCGGCCTCAGAGGCCAAATTTGGTAACAGACTGAGTGTTAACTCCCCCAGCCCTCATACGTTCTGACTTTGTTTTCAGCTTTCTCTCTCCCTTGTCCCTTTCTGTAGCTCCCTGTCTTTCTGCAGCTCCCTTTGTGGGTATCTGTTCTGACTATATTCCCCATGTACCCCAAATTCTTTACCCCCCAGTATACTTACATTCCATTCCTTGCTGGGATTTGACCTCTTGTCCTCCATCCCACCCCCCCCAATTGCCCAACTCCTCTGGAATGCATCTCAGGAATGCCTTGAGGGAGGAGGAGTTCCCTGGGAAGGGGATGGGGGGGGCATTGTTGCTGTTTCATGAAACATGGTGGAAAAGGGAGCAAAGTTCTCAGGCCAGAGTAGGACCTGGATAGCTTCTCCCCATACTTCCAAGGACCTTGTTCTCTGCCCTCATCACCCTCAGTTCACTTCTCAGTTCCCTTTCCTCCCTCATCGTCTTGTAGCTCTGTGGGTGTCCACTCAGCACCACCCTGGGAGTGAGGGTAGGCATGACTCATCTCCCTTATCGGGGTCTCACCAGAGGTTTCCGTGCTTGAAGAAGAAGGGGGTGTTCATATGTCCGGAGGAAATGGGGGAGACATGCAATTTCAACTTAGGGTGGGGGGTCCTTTCAGTCCTGCTCTCAGCTCCTCTGACGACTCTACTGACCCTCCAGCCCTCCAGCAACCCCACAGCCAGGTCTGTCAAGCTACTGGGAAAAGTGACCGAGGAATGGGGAGGTGGGCAGAGAGCTGGGGAGACTGGAAGAATCCTCATTTGTTTGGAAATAAAGATAGAGAGCGAGCTGTGGTTTCGTGGGAGACTCTGGACTGTTCTATAAGGTCAGAAACGGTCTATCAGATCCCTGATCCACACCTTTCCCACATAGACCTGTCTCCTGTTTCTAAATTATCAGTCTCTTTCACCTCATCCTTCCTAACCTCTTCACCCTCCAAAAACCTATCCCTTCCCAACTTCCCTGGTTCTCTACTGGCTACTGTGTCCCAGCACCCCCACCTGTTTCCAGCCTTCCCCCGGTCCTGCGTTTCCCCACTTGGGGCTAGCCAAGGAGGGTTTGCCAGGAGGGGAATGGGCAGCCCGGATTTGCTCATTCTCTTAGTTGAGAGGAACCAATCCCTATACCAAACTGGGTCACATCACCAGCTGCCAGGCAAATTGTGCCCTGGGTGCCACCTGCCACCTGCAAGGCTTCCTCCAGCCTGCTGAGATGTGGTGCCAAGGAGGGCGGGAGAGGTCAGGGTGGGACTGATCTTGAGCTGCAGTGAAAACACCATCAAGGGAGGTAGTGAGGCGGAGGGCAGAGTTTGAGAAGGACTTACTGAAGACGGGAGAGTATGCGAGGAGCTGTCGTGAGGACTGGGTATTCACTTGGTGACTTGAAGCAAGAACCAAGTTAGAGGGACTGGGCTCTTCTTCTGACCTGCCTTGAAACTACCCCACCTGCCCCACCATGGTCTGATATGCATGCTGCAAAACTGAGGAGTTGACTAGTTTCTGAGATCCTTTTGGATTAGAGAATCATCATTCTGGCTTGACTGCCAGGGAAGCCAAATATGGGGCCGGGCTCCCTGGGAAGGCACCTCCCTCTCCAGTTAGACACTCAAGCAGTCGTGTTTGGTCTCCCTGCTGGGCTAGCTAGAGTGGGTGTTTGCAGCCTTCAGGATCTCTTGGGAATTACCTAACATAACGTCCTCATTTTGCAGAGAAGGAGGCTAAAGCTGTCAGAGGGGAGGTCACAGGATGAGTCAGGGCAGAGCTCTGAAAATCCCAGACAGGAAAAAGCCAGCAAGACCTAGCGAGAGACAAAGAGAGAAGAAGACTGGACCAAGAAAAGATGAAAACAAGGCAGAGGCAGGGCTGGGAAAGGAGCAGGGTAAGGGCCAAGAGGGAGATACTTGGCAGACAGAAGGGAGGCACAGATTCTAGTGGTAGGGACAGGACGGTGTCCTCAGGGAACACTGCATTGCAGACCAGACTCCTTCACATATCTTAGGTGGTTAAGATTGGTTCCTTTGGTATAAATAATCTTTAAGTCTTTAAAATTCTTAAATAAAAACAACTATGTTACTATTTGCTCTGGTGGGTCCCTTTCAAAAACACCCCTCCCGGGGCCCCATCTCTCCTCTGATGAGGATGTGCGCTAATGCCCTGGTGCCACGGGCCAGGTCGAGCCAGGCTGGAGAGGAGAAGCTGCCACCATGGTTGCGCTCTCACTGAAGATCAGCATTGGGAATGTCGTGAAGACGATGCAGTTCGAGCCGTCCACCATGGTGTACGATGCCTGTCGCATCATTCGTGAACGCATCCCAGAGGCCCTGGCTGGCCCTCGTGAGTCTGAGCACCCCGGTGGCGGGGGTGGGAGTCTTCGATCCCTCCTTGTGCCCAGGCTCTTGGCTTTAAGGGATGACCCCATCGTCCCTCAAGGCTACTAACCCCTCAGGCCTGTGCTCCGTGGTTCCCTCTCTCCCCTTTAGGCCCCCGGTCCCTGGGGAAATAGTAAGGGGCAACCGCGCAGCCATCCAGCCTCACTGGGGTCCTCGTGAGTCTGAGGTGATCCGTCCGTCCTCTCTTTTAGCCAGCGACTTTGGGCTGTTCCTGTCAGATGATGACCCCAAAAAAGGTATATGGCTGGAGGCCGGGAAAGCTTTGGATTACTACATGCTCCGAAATGGGGTGAGTATCACTTCATCAAGGACCACCAACATCCCCTACTCCACCTCCTCTTTTCAGCACCCATATCTGTTGTCCCTGACCCTCTCCAGGCTTTCTATCACAGGCAGTCAAAATAACCTGCTTTTTGAGTGAGCCACCACAGTCTTGCTGTTAGTAATCTACTTTCCTCCCCTCTGGCCATGGAAAAAGGAAGTAATACCTCTAGCTTCAAGTGGGCCCCTCCTATTCCTGCCCGAACAGGATACTATGGAATACAGGAAGAAACAGAGGCCCCTGAAAATCCGTATGCTCGATGGAACTGTGAAGACTATCATGGTGGATGACTCTAAGACTGTCACCGACATGCTCATGACCATCTGTGCCCGCATTGGTAAGGGGTCTCGGTGGGACTGAGGGCTGGGGAATGGAGGCTCCAACTCTGCCGGAAAACACGGATGCATTGCCTGGGATGCTACCACCCCTCCCCCTCCCCCAGGCATCACCAACCATGATGAATATTCACTGGTTCGAGAGCTGATGGAAGAGAAGAAGGAGGAGGTGACAGGGACCTTACGCAAGGACAAGACACTGCTGCGAGATGAAAAGAAGATGGAAAAACTAAAGCAGAAGTTGCACACGGATGATGAGTGTAAGCGGAAATAGAAAAAAAGAGGGCCCTGGAAATGGTCGGGTGGGGGGAGCAGGGGACAGCTCTATATTCATTAGTTATGGAAACTCTGCTTTTGCAAGACACTGTTTTAGATGCAGGATGCATACAGTAATAAAACAAAGTCTTACTCATGGAACTTAGCGGTGAGAGAAGGTAGGAGATGAAGAATAAACAAAAGGCAAAGAGCAGACAAGACAGGCGCCCTAAGGGCTTGGCATTGAGGGGACTCTCTGTCCCAGTGAACTGGCTGGACCATGGCCGCACGCTGAGGGAACAGGGAGTGGAGGAGCACGAGACGCTTCTGCTGCGGAGGAAGTTCTTCTACTCAGACCAGAATGTGGACTCCCGGGACCCCGTACAGCTGAACCTTCTTTATGTGCAGGTGTGGAGAGGATTTGCCCAGGGTAGGGGAGGTGGGGAGAGGGGGCAGAAGCACAGCGAAGGGTATCCCCGCACCCACACACAACATCCACCGCCTTGTGTTCTCCAGGCACGAGATGACATCCTCAATGGCTCCCACCCTGTCTCCTTTGACAAGGCCTGTGAGTTTGCTGGCTTCCAGTGCCAGATCCAGTTTGGGCCCCACAATGAGCAGAAGCACAAGGCTGGCTTCCTCGAGTGAGTGACCCACATCCCACACCCTGTCAGGGCCCAGGACTCAATGCCATTGTGACCCCAACAGCCCTGCCCCCCCTCCCAGGCCTTCTCTCTCTGTTCCTCTTCTGATGCACCAGGGTTTGACCCACATGGGTACCTTTTTTGCTGCTGTCAGCTATTTGTCTCCTCACGGGCCCCATGTGGAACATGAATGTAGCCCAGAATCTCTTGCCTCTGCCCCATACCTCTCAAGCAAGCATGGAACCTTTTTGAGATTCTCTGAAGAATTTTAATGCAGTAGCCAGAGGAAAACAGTACATTTCTCCTCATAGGGAACATAGACTTAGAAAGCTTCACAAGTTTCATCCACTGATTCTCCTCAGAATGTGTAGAGTTCAGCGTGTCTTGCTTAGCTTCCTACATGCATGGTCATCCTTCTACTGAGCTCCTTCTGCTCTTGGTTCCCTGCAGTAGTGCCCTGGACCCTCTTTTCCTCAGGGACTGAGCCTGCAACTCAGGTTCCCTCGGTCCCTTTTTCCCGTAGGGAGAGACACAGGCTGCGCTCAAGAGCTCATGCTAGGTCGTCTCGATTTCGTGGATAATCCCGACTCCGTTCCCTCGAGCCTTCCTTCTCCCCAAAGATAACACTGTCCTAGACATTTCTTCACACCCCCAGGCCCACAGTCCATGGCCCACATATCCCTGATGCTGTCCACTACATGCTGACCCTCCCTTTTCTGGTGTAGCCTGAAGGACTTCCTGCCCAAGGAGTATGTGAAGCAGAAGGGAGAGCGTAAGATCTTCCAGGTGAATGGGGGTAGGGGAAAGTGTTGGGGATGCCCTGGGAGCTTTGCTGCTTAATCCTAACTGACTGAATGGACCCCCACCCCTTCCTTGTCTCCTCCCACCCTGCTTCCACCCACCAAGCTGCCCTCCCACCTCTCCTGGGCCAAGAAAGCAGAAGACCTTTCATCTCAGCTCCATCACTGCATTTGCTGTGGAATTCAATATTCTTGTTTTCTTTTCTTTGCCTCTAACGTGGGATGACAGTACCTGCCCTGGGTAGGATTGGTAGGAGAATCAAATGAGACAGTATGCCTGAAATTACACTGAAAAGTGTATCTTTGTACAAATGTGTTATCCCCACTTCTTGGATACTCAGCCCAAAAAGTCTTCTATTTGACCTTCTGCTTCTTACCTGTTCACGTCTCCAGAACATCTGCGAGTTCTTTAACTATATTCCCTGAATTGTCGCTTCTGCGTATCCTTTGTCAGCCCCCAGCCTGTCACCCTCTCGTTTCTCATATCCTGCACCCCCTAACCTTTCCTGTGTCCCCCACAGTACGCTCCCATTGTAGTAAACGTCACAACTCCTTGTCTGTGACACTATCTTCCTGCATTTGGTAAGCATTTTTTCCCATTTCCTACTCTAAGGCACACAAGAATTGTGGGCAGATGAGTGAGATCGAGGCCAAGGTGCGCTACGTGAAGCTAGCCCGTTCCCTCAAGACATATGGTGTCTCCTTCTTTCTGGTTAAGGTGGGCTACAGACCCTTCTCATTGCCTTCCTTATTCCCGCTCTTATCCTTTCCCCTCAAAGTCTGGCCCTGCCCTTGTTCACATTTTCCATCATCCCTACAAGTCCCATTCTCTGCCTTGCTCTGACCTTGTGAAAACTTGCCCTGTTGTCAGCCCTCTGCCACCACTTCGCTCCAGACCCTGTGTTTTCCCTCTCGGAGCTTGTTCAGGCTCCATCCAGACCCCCAGATAGGCTCTCCCGTGCTCCTCAGCACCCCCTTGTGGTCGAGATCTGATGTGCTCATTCACGCCTCTCTGTGACCTCTGGCCACAGCACCAATGACAACCTCTGCCTCACAGGAAAAGATGAAAGGAAAGAACAAGCTGGTGCCCAGGCTTCTGGGCATCACTAAGGAGTGTGTCATGCGAGTGGATGAGAAGACCAAAGAGGTGATCCAGGAATGGAGCCTCACCAACATCAAACGCTGGGCTGCCTCTCCCAAGAGCTTCACCCTGGTGAGTCTGGGCGCCCAGAGGGGAAGGGGCCTTGGAATTTCCAGGGGGGGCAGCTGCAGAGGTCTCTCCCCTTCCTTGGAATAGGGCACTGAGTGTGACTCCAGAAAAAGGGAGAACTTTGTAACGATTACAGGACCATGGAGGTCAGAGTAGAGGAGATTTCCTGGAGAGTAAGTGATGCTTAAATGAAACAGTCTTTAAAATCAACAGGACAGAACTGTCACCAGCAAGCTGAGCTCGCAGGAAACTTGGGGAGAGGGAAGAAAAAGGTGATAGAAAGAAAAAAATAAGCCTCCTCTCTTTCAGCAGCAACTATATAATAGTTTCCCCCCCCCCCCCCGCCCAGCTTTATATTTTGGTGTGCTGGATTGGAAACTGATACCACCTTGATGAAGTGCCCCAGTGAGGGGATGAGAACTTCATAAAGGCTGTCTTTCCATTTTGGGTACTAGTGCTAACCCTCAGTTGTGGTCATTTCAATGATAAATGTTTATGTCTTTCCAACTTTATTGTCACCGGGAGAGAACAGAGATTTCATGGATGGCATGCATGTGAAACTATGTAGCATAAAGACTGCTTCTCAGAAATAAAGTGTTGCCCTGCAGGGAGGAAAATAAAGAGGAAATTGAAGAAGGGTGGGCTTCTCCCTAGAGGGCTGTTGGCAGGGGATGCGCTCACCAGCTCATCCGTGGGGCTCCCATCCTACCCTTTTCCATCCTGGGTAGATGGCGCCCCTCCCACCAAGCTCCCACCTTGTCACCCTAGGATTTCGGGGACTACCAAGATGGCTACTACTCAGTACAGACGACGGAAGGGGAGCAGATTGCCCAGCTCATCGCCGGCTACATTGATATCATCCTTAAGAAGGTGCCCACCCCAGCCTTCTCCTTATCTAACCCCACCTTCTACCCAAGCCGGTCCTTTCAAAGTGGGAACCCAGGTTCTGGAAAAAGGCTGACTAGGGGAAAGAAGAGGCTGCCGTTTCCCTGCCTCTCTTAATTGTTCCTTTTTCCTTCCTACAGAAAAAAAGCAAGGATCACTTTGGGCTGGAGGGAGACGAGGAGTCTACTATGCTGGAGGACTCCGTGTCCCCCAAAAAGTACGAAGGGAGCTGGGCTGATCCCATCCATCAGGGGCAGGGACGGCAAGGCCTGCCTCCAATGATTGCTGAGGGGTGGGGAATCCCTAGGACGGTTCTTGAACCAGTCACAGGCTCTCATGAGACCTCACACGCCCCCTAGACCACAGGACCTGCAAAGGTTCTAGAGCTGGGTGGGAAGGGGGTGAGACCACAAAGTCCTCTGAGTGCTGCCCAGGGTGTCCCCTGTCTAGGTCGACAGTCCTGCAGCAGCAGTATAACCGGGTGGGCAAAGTGGAGCACGGCTCTGTGGCCCTGCCCGCTATCATGCGCTCCGGAGCCTCTGGTCCTGAGAATTTCCAGGTGGGCAGCATGCCGCCGGCCCAGCAGCAGATTACCAGTGGCCAGATGCACCGAGGACACATGCCCCCTTTGGTAAGAGTGCATCCGCGGCCACCAGGGTACCAGGCCTTTCTCCCCCACTCCCCCCGTCCCCGCCCGTCAGCTGGGCCCAGCCAGGAGCTAGGCAGTCTTTTCCCACGTCCCTGTTTGTATTCCTGTCCCTAGCCTCGAGTTCTCCTTTACCTACTCTTGCCTCTAAGCATTCCCTATTTCTCCTCCCCTTGTCTTGTAGACGTCAGCCCAGCAGGCACTCACTGGGACCATTAACTCCAGCATGCAGGCTGTGCAAGCTGCCCAGGCCACTCTGGATGACTTTGACACTTTGCCCCCTCTGGGCCAGGATGCTGTGAGTATGGGAGGGAGGACAGGCCAGCCGCGCTAAGGCTGGGACTCCCGGGAGGGATTGGGGTTAACCAAACCAGGGCAGATCCTGAGCTTTGCTTCTCCTCTCTCTCTCTCACTCTCTCTCTCGCAGGCCTCTAAGGCCTGGCGTAAAAACAAGATGGATGAATCAAAGCACGAGATCCACTCCCAGGTCGATGCCATCACAGCTGGTACTGCCTCCGTGGTGAACCTGACAGCGGGTAAGCCGGACTCCAAGTTCTCTGTGTGACGGGGAGGGGGAGAAGGAGCGCGGGGGAGCACGAGCGTGGCGGGCTCCGGGAGGGACCGCACCTTGACTCATGGAAGAGACTGTGTCAGGATGGGTGTGTGACTGACGCCTCTGTGCGCCTCCCCGGCCCATCGTCTGGCCTGCCCCCCTCTCACTCGTGCTCCTCTTCCTCCCCCTCCCTCAGGGGACCCCGCGGAGACAGACTATACAGCGGTGGGCTGTGCGGTCACCACCATCTCCTCCAACCTCACGGAGATGTCCCGCGGCGTGAAGCTGCTCGCTGCCCTGCTGGAGGACGAAGGCGGCAGCGGCCGGCCCCTGCTGCAGGCCGCCAAGGGCCTCGCCGGGGCCGTGTCGGAGCTGCTGCGCAGTGCCCAGCCAGCCAGTGCTGAGGTCGGGGCCCCGGGCTGGCACTAGGGAGGAAGCCCAGAGGAGACGGGGGCGGTCCAGGCTGCGGGGTGGAGGCGTGGGGCCCGTGGGCGTGTAGGACCCAGGGGTGCGTGGGCAGGGACTGGGCAGCTTCTGACCGGTGTCCGCTCTCCACAGCCCCGTCAGAACCTGCTGCAAGCAGCTGGGAACGTGGGCCAGGCCAGTGGGGAGCTGTTGCAGCAAATTGGGGAAAGTGATACTGACCCCCACTTCCAGGTTGGTGACTTACCCAGCCCCTAGAACATAAGCTTCTCGGAGGTAATCTCCGACCCTGAATCTAGCTCCTAGTCCTGTTACTACAAATTGACTTCTGAGAGCCAATCTGGACCTCTTGTTTGCAGGGAATGACACTGGGAACCTCCAATCCCTTTTTTGGGGGATGAGAATTCAGAACCCCTGAGTCAAGACTAAATCTACTAGTTCACCCTTGGCTGACTGATATTTTGTAGCCGCCTGTCATCTTTTCCTTGTCTTCCCCATATATAGCCTTTGTCCCAGCTTAACATCTTGAAGCCCCCTCCATGCCACCCTGAGGACACTGTCCCTCTAGCTGTCCCCTTCCCCACCCCATGCCAGTTTCTTCAGCTGACTTGTCATCCTGGATTTCCCACGCAGATATGTGCACCCAGAGGGGCTGGGGCTCGATCTCCCCCCGATTCCCCCACGGTAACGGCCTCTGGCCTGGGCCTTCCCAGCTTTGTCCTCTCTGAGCCGCATACACTCGCTCTGCACCTCTCCCCCGCCAGCCTCCTGGGGGAGCAGAACATGATGGGAGATGGGTAGGCATGCCACAGGCAGGGCTTGGGGAAACGGGACCAGGGAGGGTTGTACAGGGTCTCGTACTCCAGGGTGACTGCTTCCAACCAAGATTGAGAAGAAATGGAGGAAAGAAGCTGGGGGTGGGAGGGACCCCAAGAGGTATCTCTCTCCATCCCATTGTAACAGCACCGCCCCTCCCTCCCCATCGCCGTCCGAGTGTATCCGCCTCATGCATTTCTCCCTTTGGTGTAGGCTCTTGTTTCTTTCGGTGTAGGTTTGTTCCTCGGTGGGGGATCTGTCCTACTGGGTGCTCAAGGCAGGGGCTTGGGGTAGCTTCTGGTTGCTTCTGCATACACTGTCCTATGATTGGAGTCAGTGGGAAGAATGAAACAGCTTATGCCTCTGAGAAGGGTCCGTGGATTCCAAGCCCGATCTCAGGCCCTGCTGACAGCCCTTTCCTCACAGGACGTACTAATGCAGCTAGCCAAGGCCGTGGCAAGTGCTGCAGCTGCCTTGGTCCTCAAGGCCAAGAGTGTGGCCCAGCGGACAGAGGACTCGGGCCTCCAGACCCAGGTCATTGCTGCAGCAACACAGTGTGCCTTGTCCACCTCCCAGCTGGTGGCCTGCACCAAGGTGAGCCCCAACGGTTGCACTAGCCTGTGCCGAGGGTGATGCTGCCGCACACAAGAGCCTGTCGTTGCACCTCTTCGGCTCCTCCTTACCTCTCCCAGTGACTGTCACAAACACCACAAACACCCCACCTCGCGACTCCTTTCCATGGCCTTCGTCTCTTACTCGCAGTTTGCCTGCAGGTGGTGGCACCTACGATCAGCTCACCTGTCTGCCAGGAGCAGCTGGTGGAGGCCGGACGCCTGGTGGCCAGAGCCGTGGAGGGCTGTGTGTCCGCCTCCCAGGCAGCCACAGAGGACGGGCAGCTGCTGCGGGGGGTAGGGGCAGCGGCCACGGCTGTCACCCAGGCCCTGAATGAGCTGCTGCAGCACGTGAAGGCCCACGCCACGGGCGCTGGGCCTGCTGGCCGTTATGACCAGGCCACTGACACCATCCTCACCGTCACCGAGAACATCTTCAGTTCCATGGGTGACGCTGGTAAGGACACCACTCCTGGGAAGACAACGAACCCCAGTGAGGCTCCCTGAGCCCAGTGGACATTCAGTCCTTGCAGACCCGCCACCTCCCCCTTAGGACTCAGCACGGTAGGCTAGGTGTTCAGTCTCTGAAACCTCTAGTTTCTCCTCTGTAAAGCGGGAATATGATCCCTGTTCTGCCTTCTCTGGTGCGTTTGGAGAATATACAGAAGCGTACACAAACACAGCTGGAGGTTGGAAGGCGGCATTATTAAGAGAGAGCCTTCCCCACTCCCCCCTACCCACTCACCCCTAAAAGCCTTCACAAGGAGTATCTTACCTTCTCAAGATGATTTGCTGAAAATACCCATTAGAGACTGTCTTCCTTCCCATGAAAGCCCACCAGGAAATTATCCCTCTCCAAGATCCTAAACTCAAGAAACAGTAACTCCAGGGGAATCCCTTCGAGAACCTTTGTGTCTCTTTAACTGTCCTCAAGAGCACTGTCTACCTTGTCTGCACCCTTTTGCCCCACCCCTGGCACCCTCGCAGTATCTCTGGCTTCCTTACCTGATCGTGGCCTGTCCTCTCAGGTGAGATGGTACGACAGGCCCGCATCCTAGCCCAAGCCACCTCTGACCTGGTCAATGCCATCAAGGCTGATGCCGAGGGGGAGAGTGATCTGGAGAATTCTCGCAAGCTATTAAGCGCCGCTAAGATCCTGGCTGATGCCACAGCCAAGATGGTGGAGGCTGCCAAGGTACGAGGCCTGTGCACACTCCCAGACTGAGACCTGAAGGGAAGTAGAAAGGTCCGGAAGGTCACCCTGTCCTGATGGGAGGGACCCAGGAAAAGCAGGAAATACATGAGAACAAATAGAAGCACTCAGGAGGTAAATGCGCCCCAGGCTTCAGGTGGATGGCGGCCCAGGCTTCGAGCCAATGTGGCCTGCTGGAGTGCTTGCTAACTGACAAGGCAACCGTGCCCCTTTTCCTCCCCCAAGTCCAAGGTCTGCTGTCCTTACTTTCCCCTACTTTGCTGCCTGCTTCCTGGTCTCTCCTGGGAATGCACAGTCAACAGTGCAGAGAGAGACAAGGCGGGGGGACATAGGGACGCAAGGTGCAGAATACTGTCCAGAAGAAGCCAAGAGGCTCTCATACTCCCTGAGCCCTGGGGCTCCTCAGTTTGCAGGAGTAACCAGGTCCCCGGATGGGGTTTTTGAGATCCCTGCTCTGAACTGTGTCCTCCCGGTCCCAGAGAGCCCTCCTCACCCCTCACTTGCCAGTGGCATTTTGTGTGGGGAGTAGGGAAAGACACATGGCTCTCCTCCCCCCGAGAGGGAAAGAAGACATAGTTCCACCTGAAGAGGGTCCAAAGGGAATCCAGGGCCCCCCTGCACTTCCCTTGCGCCTGCCCGAGGCAGCTCATCTCAGCTGTGATCACCTTGAGTGCGGGTAGTTAGAAATGACTTGGGAAAATGCTGGAGTCTGGAGGGGCCGGAGCGGAGCTTAGCTGGGGGCCGCAGGGATGCTGAGACGCGTGTCTCCCCACTTCTCGCAGGGAGCCGCCGCCCACCCTGACAGTGAGGAGCAGCAGCAGCGGCTGCGGGAGGCGGCCGAGGGTCTGCGCATGGCGACCAATGCAGCTGCGCAGAACGCCATCAAGAAGAAGCTGGTGCAGCGCCTGGAGGTGAGGCTGGCGAGTGAACTGGAAGCAAGAGTGTGGGCGCTGTGGGAGGAATGATGTGCAGAGAGAGACTCGACCGGCGTTTCCTCGTGGCGTAGCACGGCCAGGGTGGGCAGGGACTGGGTGGGGGACCGCCCGGGGCTTGTCCTAACCACTCTGTCCTCACAGCACGCAGCCAAACAGGCTGCGGCCTCAGCCACACAGACCATCGCCGCGGCCCAGCACGCAGCCTCCACCCCCAAGGCCTCTGCCGGCCCCCAGCCGCTGCTGGTGCAGAGCTGCAAGGTGAGACTCGGTGGGAGGAAGTGTGGGACAGGGGACACTTTCCCCCGGTCTGTGGCGAGGTGGCTCTCATGACCTTTTCCCCCCACAGGCTGTGGCAGAACAAATTCCACTGCTGGTGCAGGGCGTCCGAGGGAGCCAGGCTCAGCCTGACAGTCCCAGTGCTCAGCTGGCCCTCATTGCTGCAAGCCAGAGCTTCCTGCAGGCAAGGCACCCTCTCCCGCCTCTCAGACAAGACTCTTCCCACCCTCTGAGTCCCCGAGATTGCCCACAGTTTAAAGCTCCACCAACAGCCTCCTTCCCAGACAGAGCCACAGCGCTCACCGTGTCCTAACCATCATCAGTCCCTGTACCCAAGCAGATGGTACATTCGTCTGCCCGCCTGTTCCCCAACAGCCAGGTGGGAAGATGGTGGCTGCTGCAAAGGCGTCCGTGCCAACAATTCAGGACCAGGCTTCGGCCATGCAGCTGAGTCAGTGTGCTAAAAACCTTGGTACCGCATTGGCCGAACTTCGTACCGCTGCCCAGAAGGTATGGGAGCTGGCTGGCTTTGGAAAGTGAGGGTAGGAGCGCCTGGATGGCGCAGTCGGTTAAGCATCCGACTCTTGACTTCGGCTCAGGTCATGGTCTCAGGCTCATGAGATTGGGCCCCGTGTCAGGCTCCACGCTCAGCGCAGAGCCTGCTTAAGTTTCTCTCTCCCTCTCTGCTGTGTGTGCAGGCACATGCACACGCTCTCTTAAATAAATAAATATTTTTTTAAAAAATGAAAGGAAGAAAATGAGGGTGGAGTTCTGGGATGATGGGGACTCTGCAAAATAACCTAAAACAGGGATAATTGTATAACCTGGGGCATCAGTGGGAAACAGCAGTACCTCCGGTACCCAAGCCCCCTTATCACTGTAGGCTCAGGAAGCGTGTGGGCCTTTGGAGATGGATTCTGCACTGAGTGTGGTACAGAATCTAGAGAGAGACCTGCAGGAAGTGAAGGCAGCAGCTCGAGATGGCAAGCTTAAACCCTTACCTGGGGAGACCGTAAGTATTCTTAAGACCTCATTCTTGGGCACCTGGGTGGCTCAGTCGGTTAAGCATCTGCCTTCGGCTCAGGTCACGATCATGGGATTGAGCCCCACATCGGGCTCCTTGCTCAGCGGGAAGCTGCTGCTCCCTCTGCCTGCCGCTCCCCCCTGCTTGTGCTCTCTCGCTCTCTCTCTGTCAAATAAGTAAATAAAATCTTATGTAAAAAAAAACTCGGATGCCTGCGTGGCTTAGTCGGTTAAACATCTGCCTTCGGCTCAGGTCATGACCCCAGAGTCCTAGATCGAGTCCTGCATAGAGCTCCCTGCTCAGCGGCGAGCCTGCTTCTCCCTCTGCCTGCCGCTCCCCCTGCTCTCTCTCTAAATAAATAAAATCTTAAAAAAAAACAAAAAAAACCCACCTCATTCTTAATCAAACCCTGAGGTTTTCTTTCCCACCTGCACTCCAGAGCTGCCCAAAACCTTCATTTAAACTGCCAGCTGATCCCAACTCGCTTCTCAAGTTCCCATTTCCCGGTTCTTTCTGCCCCTGAGTCTCCCACTTCATCCCTAGATGGAGAAATGTGCCCAGGACCTGGGTAACAGCACCAAAGCAGTGAGCTCCGCCATTGCCCAGCTGCTGGGGGAGGTTGCCCAGGGCAATGAGAATTACGCAGGTATGTGGAGGGGCTGGGGAAAAGGAGCTGAAGGAGGGATGGAGCTGACAGAGGATGCCACGGGGATCAGGGCCGGGCAGTAAAGGCACCTTTTCCCTTCATCTCCCCAGGGATCGCAGCTCGGGATGTGGCAGGTGGGCTGCGGTCACTGGCCCAGGCCGCTCGGGGTGTAGCTGCCCTGACGTCAGATCCTGCAGTGCAGGCCATTGTGCTTGACACAGCCAGCGACGTTCTGGACAAAGCCAGCAGCCTCATCGAGGAAGCAAAAAAGGCAGCTGGCCATCCAGGGGACCCTGAAAGCCAGCAGCGGCTTGCCCAGGTCAAGTTTGGGGAAGAGGCCACTTCCCCCTACGGCCCAACCTGCCTGGAGCAAAATCTCATCCACACTGATAGGCACCTTCCCAGGTCTGCTCTTGACAGCTCCTGTCTGGATTCCACCCTTTCTCTCAGTCTTGGTAGGAGTGTCTCAGTTAGCCTGAGGCAGGGGCCTAGCTGAACACCAGCTTCGAGACAGTTTGATCACTATCACTTGATACCCTAACTTCAGCCCCTTCAGCTACACACCCCCTTTCCTCTTCACTTTCGGAGGCAGTAGATCGGTTGTTTCCCATGTTCCCATGAGCGGAGGAGGGGCTCTCCCAAACTGTTTACATTTTGGCAACGCCTGTCTCCTTTTCCACCTCAGGTGGCTAAAGCAGTGACCCAGGCCCTGAACCGCTGTGTCAGCTGCCTGCCTGGCCAGCGAGATGTGGACAATGCCCTGCGAGCAGTGGGAGACGCCAGCAAGCGACTCCTGAGTGACTCGGTAGGAAGACCAGGGGAGGCACGTAGGAGCTGAAGAACTCCAAGCTTCTCCTTCCACCTCTGGACCTCTCCTTGACCTTGACTTCCCAGATTTACCCCCTTTCATTACTCCCAGGCTCTGTGCCCACCTCCCAGCGCTCCTTGACCAAACTCTCCCTCGCACCGCTCCCCATGCTCGCTTCTGACTTTCTCTCTGACCCTGCAGCTTCCCCCCAGCACCGGGACATTTCAAGAGGCTCAGAGCCGGTTGAATGAGGCTGCTGCTGGGCTGAATCAGGCAGCCACAGAACTGGTACAGGCTTCTCGGGGAACCCCCCAGGACCTGGCTCGAGCCTCAGGTCGATTTGGACAGGACTTCAGCACCTTCCTGGAAGCTGGTGTGGAGATGGCAGGACAGGCCCCGGTATGAAAAGGCACAGGGTCCGGCTCAGGGGTTAGGCGAGAGGTACCCGTGTGACTGCTCAGTCCTGACCTTTGCCTGCCTCCCTCCCTTCCTCCCTCCCTTCCTCCCTCCCCCTCCCCAGTCTCTAGCAACATTTGAGTGTCTGGGACGGAAGAGCCCTTTTAGAGACAGATAAGAAAGGACTGACTGGACAATGTGTTGACCTTTTCGCCTTCAACAGAGCCAGGAGGACCGGGCCCAGGTTGTGTCCAACTTGAAGGGCATCTCTATGTCTTCGAGCAAACTCCTTCTGGCTGCCAAGGCCCTGTCCACAGACCCTGCTGCCCCCAACCTCAAGAGTCAGCTGGCTGCAGCTGCCCGGTATGTAGGAGCTGGGAAGCCCAGCCCAGCAGTGTTGAAGAGACTGGGGAGGGGACATTCCATGAGAAGTCCCAGCTTAGGAGTGGTTACACACGAAAGAGAAACAGACACTTCCCGTGTATAGAGGACCCAAGAATTATGGCCTGTGTGTGCATCCACTCAACTTTCTCTTCCTCCCAGGGCGGTGACTGACAGCATCAACCAGCTCATCACCATGTGTACCCAGCAGGCACCAGGCCAGAAAGAGTGTGACAATGCCCTGCGGGAATTGGAGGTGGGCACTCAGCAGGCTGAGTGGTGTGGAGGCTGAGGACGGTATTCTGGGTCTGGGGGTGAAGGAGGTGTCTTGAGTCCTACTTTGTCCTCCCCCTGTCCAGACTGTCCGGGAACTCCTAGAGAACCCGGTCCAGCCCATCAATGACATGTCCTACTTCGGCTGCCTAGACAGTGTGATGGAGAACTCAAAGGTAAGTGCGGCAAGGGGCCCAGGAGGGCTGGTGGCAGGAAGATGGGACAAACCAGGGGCTCCTCCGCCCCTCTCAGGACAGGGACGGGCTCTCCCGATACCCTCTCTTTCTCAGGTACTGGGTGAGGCCATGACTGGCATCTCCCAAAACGCCAAGAATGGGAACCTGCCTGAGTTCGGGGAGGCCATCGCCACAGCCTCCAAGGCCCTCTGTGGCTTCACCGAGGCAGCCGCACAGGTTATTCCCCTGCGACGGTCCCCACACGCTCCCCTGCTTTCCCTCCCCCGCCTCCTCAACAGCCTGACGCTCCGGTAGATAACCAAGAAGTGATGTTTGCAAAACCAACTCTGTGGAAGCTGGGTTTCTTTCCCCTCCTCGGTGGAGATGTTTGTCAGCAACCATAGAATACCAACAGTTCTGGTCGCTGTCACCCCTGAGCCCCTGGCACCTTGGGTTAGGATGACACTGTCCAATCAGTGGCCCTTTTCCAGCCCTGGCTTTCTTGGTATATGCTGACTGGCATATGCAAGTTCTTTTTCACATAACTATCACTTTATTAAAATAGTACCAGTGACTACAGTTCCAGTTAATTGAGTCACCGCTTTGCCTTTTTATGCAGTTACGAAGATTAAAACAATGTTCGCTGTGAGAGTATTTTGCTTTAGTACATGAACCCTTAAGGCAGGCTGGCTTGAGAGTTCATCTCAGACTGTTTCCCTGAAAGCCTACTAGCCTGCTCCCTCAGTCTCCCCTACCTCCCTTTGCCCTGTTCTGTTGGGTGGCCTATTCTAGATGGTATGACTTATTTCTGGAAAAGCAGAGAGAGGAACAAGTAGAGCGACCATGTGTCGAAGTATAAATCAAACCTTCTGCTGGTCATCTAATCATAAAAAATCGTTGGCATCCGTTACACCCATCCCTTCCCTCTCTCCAAATCTCTAAAGCGTGGAGGTGTTGTAAATATCAGTGGTCGTAACAACCTGCAGAGTTTTCGGACTCATGCATAGGGGCTTTGCATGCACGCACGTGTGTGTGCGTGCCGGGGTGGTTTTCAAACCTTTTTGACTTCTACTTAGAGTAAGCAGTACTTTTTACCTTACAATCCCCCAGATACACATCTACACAGAAGTTTGATGAAACCCTTACCATGTGGTTATCCTTTTATTTTTTATTTTTTATTTTTTTTACCTTTTCGACCTTCTGAAATGTTTAAACATATTTAACAAAACAGGAGAGGTTTTTTCTTTTTTTATAGTGCTACTATTATTTGTTAATATACCTCTGCTCACATAGGACCCTGGCTACTAAACCTACCCCTACTCCCCTTTGTCCCCGCTGTCACTAGTCGGTCCCACCTGAGAGATGGTCTTTCTTCCTCACCCCACCCCCACCCCTCTCTCTCCCCAGGCTGCATATCTGGTGGGGGTCTCTGATCCCAACAGCCAAGCTGGGCAGCAAGGACTGGTGGAGCCCACGCAGTTCGCCCGTGCAAACCAGGCAATTCAGATGGCCTGTCAGAGTTTGGGGGAGCCTGGCTGTACGCAGGCCCAGGTAACTTAAGAGAGCAGGTGCTATGGGCAAGTCTGGGAAGCGGTGCCCGGCCAAGATGGACTGGCCCAAGAGGGAGATGTGGGAGATGTGGGGGCGTATCGCTAACCTTCCACACATGGCTTCTCTGGGGGTAACTGTCTTCTCCTGCCATGTTTCTTGTCACTCTTAGTTACTGCTAAGTTCAGAACTTCTCTGTAGACAGTTTGAGTTCACTCTCCTACTTACCCTACTACAGTTTCTCCATCAGGGTGGCCGTCTTCCATCTCCCCCTTCCCACACCCTGTTCATCTTTGGGTATCTCTGTCTCCCAAATCTTCACTTTCCAGGTGACTCCGTCTTTCCTAATGAGACTTGCAGAGGTCTTGCTCTCCTTCCCCCATCGCGCAGGGCCCCTGCCCTCATCGTGGCTCTCCCGCACGTCTATCTCCGCAGGTGCTCTCTGCAGCCACCATCGTGGCCAAGCACACCTCCGCGCTGTGTAACAGCTGCCGCCTGGCCTCCGCTCGCACGGCCAATCCCACCGCCAAGCGCCAGTTTGTACAGTCGGCCAAGGAGGTGGCCAACAGCACAGCCAATCTTGTCAAAACTATCAAGGTTGTCAGTGTTTGAGATTCCCAGCCTCCCTCTGACCGTCCAGTCTCCTCTCCCCCAGTCCCTGCATCCGTCCCTGGGGCCTTCTACCACAGCCCGTCTGCCTGAGCCCAGGCCCTTCCGTGTCCGTACAGGTCACCACCAGCCCCTCCCCACCCCCTCAGCCCAGGAGAGGACGCCGGCGCTCCGCCTCCCTTGCCTGCAGTCAGTCCTGAGGTTCTGTCCCTCCCCCTTGCAGGCACTTGACGGAGCTTTCACAGAAGAGAACCGTGCCCAGTGCCGAGCAGCAACGGCCCCTCTGCTGGAGGCCGTGGACAATCTGAGTGCCTTTGCATCCAACCCCGAGTTCGCCAGCATTCCTGCCCAGATCAGCCCTGAGGTGAGGCGATGTGAAGGGAAAACCAATGGGCCGGCTGCCCCCTCACGTTTGCAGGAGTCTTGAGATTCACCTCCCTGCCTCCTCTCCCCGCAGGGCCGGGCTGCAATGGAGCCCATTGTGGTCTCCGCCAAGACAATGTTGGAGAGTGCCGGGGGACTCATCCAGACAGCCCGGGCCCTAGCAGTCAATCCCCGGGACCCGCCGCGCTGGTCGGTGCTGGCTGGCCACTCCCGGACCGTCTCAGACTCCATCAAGAAGCTCATTACAAGCATGAGGTGTTGCAGGGGCAGAGAACCAGTGTGGCTAGGGAGCACAGAGCAGAACGGGGGGAGGGTAGTGCAATTAGATGGGATAGGCTGTTGTCCAAGATTTGGGGGGCATGGGGAAAGATAGACTAGCCTTGTTTTAAAGGGCGGTTCGTGGTTTTGGAGCCTATGATGTGTCTACAGGGACAAGGCTCCAGGGCAGCTGGAGTGCGAGGCGGCCATTGCAGCTCTGAACAGCTGTCTGCGGGACCTAGACCAGGCTTCCCTCGCTGCTGTCAGCCAACAGCTTGCTCCCCGGGAGGGAATCTCTCAAGAGGTAAGGGGGAAATGGGTTATACGGAAGGTTGCATCTGGGGAGAGAGATGGCACACTCGAGGAAGATGGGGGATCCAGGAGTGTGCCTCATGGAGACGTCAAGGGTACAGGAGGAACATGCCCAGGGGAGTGAGCGAGTTCAGTATGGAAGGAGGTAGCAGGCCCTGTTCCAGGTCACAGTCAGGGCTCAAGTTCGCTTCTTTCCCAGGCCTTGCACACTCAGATGCTCACTGCAGTGCAGGAGATCTCCCACCTTATCGAGCCACTGGCCAGCGCTGCAAGGGCTGAAGCCTCCCAGCTGGGACACAAGGTACCCGGAGAGACAAGTGGGGAGTCCCGGGGCAGGGCAAGCGAGGGTTCCAGGCCCAGCTGACCTCCGCTCAAACCCCTCGCCTCAGGTGTCCCAGATGGCCCAGTACTTTGAGCCACTCACCCTGGCTGCGGTGGGTGCTGCCTCCAAGACCCTGAGCCACCCGCAGCAGATGGCGCTCCTGGACCAGACCAAAACCTTGGCAGAGTCTGCCCTGCAGTTGCTGTACACAGCCAAGGAGGCTGGCGGGAACCCCAAGGTACTGAAAGTGGGAGGGAGGGGCTGCTACCAGGAAGAGGTCAGAGAAGCAGAACACCGGAGCCCCCCTCCACTCACTCGCTCTGCCCCCAGCAAGCAGCTCACACCCAGGAGGCCCTGGAGGAGGCTGTGCAGATGATGACAGAGGCCGTAGAGGACCTGACGACAACCCTTAATGAGGCAGCCAGTGCTGCTGGGGTTGTCGGCGGCATGGTGGACTCCATCACCCAGGCCATCAACCAGGTTAGAGTCCTTGGGTGCCTGTGGTCAGAGGCTCCCCTGGGCCAGGGTCCCTGAGCTCAGTGTCAGAGACCCTGATGGTCTGTCTCCTTTCCCCATCCGCCTCCCTCAGCTAGATGAAGGACCAATGGGTGAACCAGAAGGTTCTTTTGTGGATTACCAGACGACTATGGTGCGGACAGCCAAGGCCATTGCTGTCACCGTTCAAGAGATGGTGAGTTTGGGAGAGTGTAAGAAGGCCACCCCCAGGGAGCTTAGTGTGGGCATAACTTTACTTCTGTCGCCCCAGGTAACCAAGTCAAACACCAGCCCTGAGGAGCTAGGCCCTCTTGCTAACCAGCTGACCAGTGACTACGGCCGCCTGGCCTCCCAGGCCAAGCCTGCAGCTGTGGCTGCTGAGAACGAAGAGGTAAACACGGGGGCAGCTGCCGTGAAGGCCTTCCCCGCCGCCCCTCACAGAAAATCGCAGTAGCGTGCCCTCGTCCCCATCATGTCAGCCTCTGGGGCCGTCCCACCCTTACTCTGTCTAGCCTTCTTTAGAAGGGGAACACCCCCTCAGGGCCACTCCACTAAAGAGTGATCAGGGCTCGTGTAGGGACAGGATCAAAGTCATGGGGATAGAGGAGACAGCCGACAATCTAGAGATTTCCTGGTCTGCCGACACCCCTCTGGGACTGTGGCTGCTTCTCTCCTATCCTGCAGGTCTGTAATCTCTTCTTAGTTCTTCCTTGTTGCAGACCCGAGAAGTTCTTCCTTCCCTAAGCTCCTGGCTTTCCAAGAAAGCAAGTAATTGGATCTTACCACCACACACCTAATCCCCAGCCCCAAACCCCTCCTTAACCACATCCCGGCCAAATCGTAATCCGTGGCCCTCTGATTCAAATACCCCAGCATAAAGTGCTTCTCCCCCACCTCCTCACTGGGCTTAACATAATCCTCACCAGTTGGTGCCTACATGCTGCTATTTTGCATGTGTAGGAGGTGACCTCCTGCCTAAAGGATGTGAAACAGGAAATCTGCGTGCTGGGCACTTTTTCTCACCACCCCTTTAGTCTACGATGCGTGTTCTGTTAGGTCCTTCGTGACTCCTCCAAGCACAATGGAGGTCCCCGAGTGCCATTTGTAAAGGCCATCTCCCTTTCCCATCCGCTCACAGATAGGTGCGCACATCAAGCACCGCGTGCAGGAGCTGGGGCATGGCTGTGCCGCTCTGGTCACCAAGGCGGGCGCCCTGCAGTGCAGCCCCAGCGACGCCTACACCAAGAAGGAGCTCATAGAGTGTGCCCGGAGAGTCTCCGAGAAGGTGACTGCGCCCATCGCCGTGGACTGGGGCACTGGCTCCCCGACCCCGCGGCGGCCCTTCCCATCATCTTCCTGCCTTCCCAGCCCTCTCCTCCGTCCCTTCTCCCGGCCACCGGTGACCGCCCCCTTCCACGAGGCACCGGCCGGAGTCCCCACGTGCCTTCCCTCCCCCAGGTCTCGCACGTGCTGGCCGCGCTGCAGGCGGGGAATCGTGGCACCCAGGCCTGCATCACGGCCGCCAGCGCCGTGTCCGGCATCATTGCTGACCTCGACACCACCATCATGTTCGCCACGGCCGGCACCCTCAATCGCGAGGGGGCCGAGACCTTCGCTGACCACCGGTGAGGAGGGAACGGGCCTCCTGGAGGAGGGCCG